TCTTTCGCGGAACATTCTCATAAAATTTACAGGAGGAGAAGGGTTTAAAATAGGGTGAATACCAGCTGGCCGTATATTTCTAAACAATTTTCAAAAATTATGTTTTTTATTGTGATTTCCTACCCCCCGACTTAAGTAAACGTATATATAATAAAATCTATTAATTAAAAAAATTAAAATACTATCGGAGGTCGTTTCTGACATCAGAAACTAGCTTTAAATAACTTTATCGAAAGAAAATCCGTGCACTACAACTTTAGAACGATAAAATAAATATATGAAACTCCCATTAATAACTATTAAAAAGCAATTAAGCGTGAAGCGTGCGTCATTAGAGGTAAATTAAAATCGCGATAACATTTTTTCACGCGGGAATAAATTTTGAAAAAAATTGGAGACTTAAAAACATTCCAAAAATTCAAAAAAAAATTCACAAATGGCCTTAAAGACCGTCAATCTGTGTGAGTTTCACGTTTTTTGAAGTTTGATCTTGACAGACATAAGTTCATTCGAGATGGCGATGCATTGGTGCTTTTAATATGGAACCCAACTCTTCCGAACTCTCTCTTTGCAAGCAGACATTTGTCCGGAGCGATTTGTGAAAAAGACACTAGGTAGAAAGTCAATTCTTCCCGAGAATATCGAAAAAAAAGCTGCTGGAATATATATTGTTGATGGAGGTCATGTTTTTCTATTATAAAAGCATTTTTTCGATAAAATACATTGGAGTAAATAATTTTGTAATTATTTAATATTCTTTGTACTATCCTCTTTGTTTTTGGATACATTAAAGCATTTTTTGAAAACATACAGTAAGGTTCCATATTACCACTCGGTTTTCCCTAAGTCATCTTTCTGACTTTTTGTACCGAAGCCGTCAAAAACCATACTTATAATTACACTAGCGAAACATCCAATTAGGAACATTTAGTTTAATAGTTACCAGCACTTTTCGCACAAAAAATGTGGGTGTAGTTATGATAACTTCTTTACAATTCACTATAATGTAATTGGGGTCCATAATACCACATTCTCTACTGCTTATGCAAAGTGACAAGTCGCTTNATAAATAAATATTAGCGATAACTTGAATGTTATTTTTAATACGAGATTTAATAATATTATAAGGTGAACCAGACATCTCGCTTGTTAGGGTGCGACTATGCAGACGCGAGCGAGCGAATTTTCCGAGAGAGCGAGAATATGTGGCGAGAAGAGGCGAGACGCGATAAATATCAAAACCTATCAGATATGTGCGAGAACAAGAAATTCGCTCTCGCTAGCGTTATTTCTCGCTTCTCGTTTGTGCATGGTTTTCCTTTGTGAAAACTAAATCGCTCGCAACCTCTCGCTCGCTCTAAATTCGCGTCTGCATAGTCGCACCCTTAGGCTTTCCGCTCAGTTCTAATCATGTCGGCTTTTTTTATAACTGCGCTATTACATCCCGAGAAATATAAAAAGACTTAGACCAAATACAAATGCTAAAATAACGATGTCTGGTGGAGTGCTGGAGCTAACTGCATAAACATGCCGTTTAGTTTTCAAAAATCGGCGATTCGGTTATTAATTTATCGAGAAGCAACGTTGTGTTAATAATTAAAATATAATAAATCAGTTAAGGCGGAGAGGTCATCGGATCGGCGCCCGCCATTTTTCTTCGAGAAAAAGCGTGCCAGTAACAATTCCAGAATAAAATTTTAACATTCGGGGTTCAACAAAAGAATACCGAACTTCCAAATACATACACTGTTCAAAGTTTTATTAATTTATATTGGAATGTTTATAACTGTTAAGTGTTGATAGTGGGTAGTCTCCCCTTACAAGAGCGATGTAGTTTCTAAGCTGTCTTAAATAAATACGTGTAGATACAGAACATATTCTTATAGTAGGTTCAAACCAAATAAAAATTATGGCTTAGAAAAACATTCATAGAGTTTATTTATTAATCATTCTTGTACATTCTACGTATTTTCTTAATAACTAGCCATTTATTGACGGTTCGATCCAGGCAGGGAGTAATAGCAAAGTCCAGTCAGGCGGCGTAGATGGCGTTACTCGTTTGACGTCATGTCCAAGTGACAGGCCTAAAGTCCTGCCATTTTATTTCGAAATCAAGTCACTGTTGCTAGAACTACATACATTTTGTATGCGGGTAGCGTGGATTGTTGGTGTACAGTATTTTCTTGTCTACAGGTAAATGCCTGTACAACGCATCCATGTGATGGCTGCATCGAATATGGTCGATCACAGATAATACGACCCTCAAACCGCAGAAAAACATTTATTATTTTAACAGAATTATTAAAACTGAATTTTTATGGGGAAATCTTTTAACTATTCGCTGTAGGTTAGTAATGCTATGCTCTATCAGATAACGT